CCAGCAAGGTGTACATCTAGCATCCTTTGAGTGAAATGAATGCATTTTTCCTCAGTAAAGGAATGGGCCATTCGCATATGGATTATTTTTTATATATTTTTCCTTAATCAAATTAAGTAAATTCTCTTATCCTGGTAGCATTCTGCTCTTTGGTTTAGAAATATTTCTGATGGCAAATTAAGGTACAATGTGTTTCAGCTCTTACATTACATCTTAACATCTAAGAAACGAAAATATATGATCAATACGTATTGTACTGAACATTCTCTTGCATTTAGTACTGTCTAATTTTAATGCCCAAAGCAGTGCACTTTATCGCACTGTCTCGTATACATCCTGGTCAGGGAGTCTGCAAGATGTGCAGTGTTAATTCTCTTTCTCGATGCCTTCCTATTATTCCTAATTATCTCCTGTGCACTGCACCAACCTGAAGAGTTCTGTGCTCTAACTGGTGTTCATACCTTTCCATTAAAAGAAGGGTCTTATCATGAGTCCACTTTTACCAAATCTTTATTGTCTCTCATGGCTTCTTAGCTTATTTTATAAGTAGGTAGTGGTATACAACTAAACCACTAACTTTGCTTTCATTTGAACCATTTGCCATCTTCTGACAGGAGAAAACAGCCTAATTTTCATTAGAAAACTCATCCAATTGGAACAAAAATAATTACAATGTCGCAACAAAAATCCATGTGGACTGCAACATGAAGGAAAATGCTCTTCTCACTTTTTTTGCTTTCATTCTTGAATGCTTCGGAGTTTTCACTTGGCTGAGCTGTAATAAATGCATTTAATGTAGTTACAGTCCAGCATTCAAAACCTGATGTATCAAGTCATGGTGTAATATTTGCAAAGAAGGAGTTCAGTAGCACCTGTAGTCTGCCACGGAGTGTTTGTTCTACAATAAGGTGAGCAAGGTTCTTTGAGTAGATGACTTTTTTATTGATCTTTTATTAGACCAACTTAGTAGTTGGAAAAAAGTTCTTGGCAAGCTTTTGGGCACAATCACCCTTCTTCAGGGATAGGGAATCTCTGCTGGTCTGAGACTCCAAGCAATGAGAGATACTAAAAGTGTGGCAGGATGTCAGTGAGTATATAAGTAGGTAGAAATTAGAAAGACAAAAGCTAAAGCAGAGAGGTAAAGCAGAGAGAGCAGAGGGAAGAAAGCCTGCTCCCTAAAGTCCACAAACAAGGAAACCCTGGCAGACCTATCATTTCAAACCATGGAACCCTAACAGAAGAAATATTAGGTTTAATTGAATCCATCTTAAAACCACTCATCACCCAAAGATCGAATTGAATTCAAGACACAACAGACATCCTGCAAAAACTCAAAAACATAGACCATCTTCTCAGCAATACCCTTCTAGCCACCATGGATGTCACTAGCCTATACACCAACATCCCAAACCAGGATGGCATCCAAGCCTGCCACAAATATCTACAAGAACGAGATTACAACTCAGAGTACAGACCTCAGGATATCACTGAACTCATATACAACCAACAAGGACACTCCTCCAGAGAGTTAGATCACACTTTTGAAAGAGCCACCCAGATAGCATGTGAAGATTTGCTGCAGTACAAAAAGAAAGTCCCCACAAATTGCACACCATTAGTTATGACATACATGAATGGTGCATGCCCCTGGCAGCCCGGGGGGGCGGGGTGGCATGGTTATGCTGATGGTGGCAGGAGCGTGACAGCAGGTGCCTGGAGGCAGTGAGCAGGGAGCTCCCACAGACGCCACTGTCACTGTTGGCAGCGGGGGATGGGGAGCACCGACCATGGGTCAGCGACCACCCGCAGGTGCTGCTGGCAGCAGCAGCCAGGGATGATCAGGGACCGCCCGCAGACAAGAATACCCAACTACCTGTGGGGCACACCTCTAACAGGACAATCACTCCCTCTCTGATCTCTGTTCTACTCCTCAAAAGCAACTTACAAAACACCTTTTGTAGATGAGCCTATGAACTTCACTTCATAAATCTACTGGATACAAAAAATCATAAACTCAGTATAGACATTGGTTTTATGACACATTCCAACCTGCCTGATGTCTGATTCAGCAGGTACCTGCCTGACCTGACCTTTTACTTTCTTCTTTTTCCCCACCTTTTCTCCTCTCCCCTTCCCTACTTTACTGCCCTTTGTCTCCCTGATTTCCTACTATTTCCTTCGTTATTGAGTGCCTCTTTTTTACCTGTAGTGTTTCCCTTGGGCCTTTTTTTTCTTCCCCTACTTTACCTTTTGTTTTTCCTTTTTTACCTATTTATATTTTCACTACATCCTCTCACACATTGAGCTTCTCTCATTCCTGTTTTCCTGATCTCCAGCTATTTCCTTTTTCACTGACAGCCTCTTTGCTACTTTGTACTCTATCACTGTAATGTCTCCCTTTAGCCTTTTTCCCCCTACTTGCTTCCCCCTCCCCTCTCTGCTTTACCTTTTGTCTTTCTAATTTCTACCTATTTACATTCTCACTGACATGCAACCACACTTTTAGCTTCTCTCATTTCTTGAAGTCTCAGAACAGGAGAGACTCCCTATGCCTGAAGAAGTGTGACTGCGCCTGAAAGCTTGCCAAGAACTTTTTTCCAACTACTCAGTTGGTCTAATAAAAGATATCACATCTACTCAAAGAACCTTGCCTGCCTATATCCTTAGACCAACACAGCTACAACCAAAAACCCTGCTCTACATCAATAGATTTGTGGATTCACAGATTTTCAGGCCAGAAAAGGCCATTAGGCTCAAGCAATCAGACCTCTTGCATAACACAGGCAACAAAATTGGACACAGTGGGCTCATCTACACATTCATTAATGCGCTTTAGATACTGCACTTCTGGTTTACTACTTCCTTAGTAAAGCAAGAACTAAACGTGCAGTACCTAAAGTTACTGCACAGTAGGACCGGCGCATGGTTATTTAGTGATGTTTATTGTGCATTAGCCTTATAACACTGTGCAGTAGGCTATTGGTACACTTTTTGCTGTGACATCGTACTGCACAGTGTTATTAGGCCAATGTGCAGTAAATGTCTTGTGCAGATGCGCCCCATGGCCCTTGTACTGCTGAAGCTGGCCACACACACCAGCCTCTCGTTCATTGGCTACCTGTTTAGTGTCAGCAAGGCCACCACTGGGGAGTCTGAGATGTGCAGGGCCCTCTTGTACACTGTGTTGGAGCACACTGTGCTTTGCGTACATGACCCCCTGGTGGTGGTGGCAGGGTTCTGTGCCTTGGGATTCCCCCAGTGTATTGGGGCCCTGGATGGGACCCACATCCCCATCACCTGCCTTCCCCATGGAGACCAGCATAATTACAGCCACAGGAGATTTCACTCCATGGTCCTGCAGGCTGTCATGGACCATTGTAGGGCCTTCATCCACATGAGCACTGACTGGGCAGGCAGAGCACATGATGCCCACATGTTTTGCAACTCCAGCCTGGTGGAACTTGTAGAGAGTGGGGACTTTGTGCTGGATCTGTACCTGTGTGCCATTGTGGTCCAGCCCATGCTTATCAAGGATTCTGCCTACCCACTCCTGCCCTGGCTGATGTGACTGTACACTGGCCACCTGGACCCCCTCCTGGCCCACTTTAACCACTACCTGGGATGGACCCATGGCCTGATGGAGTGTGCCTTTGGCACCCTCAAGGGCTGCTGGCACTCCCTCACCACCTTTTTCAAGGTTGCCCCTGGGTCATCATAACCTGTGTGCTGCATAACATCTATGAGGTCCAGAGGGAGCTGTTCTATAAGGCCTGGGAAAAGGCGGCGCAGCATGCAGCGGATGCCTGGAGGTGGGAGCACTACCTGCAGTGGCAGCAGCAGGCCCCCCCTGCCAAAGCACCAGGAGAGCCACATACCTGCCAGCACCAGGAGCAGGTCACCAGGCACCAGGGCACTGGGTGCAGGGGGTTCTAGCTGACCACCTCCTTCAGCACTGCCTGCTGTAGCCTGCCTGCCCCTCTGCCCACAGTCTCCCTACCCCATGCCCAGCCCCAGCACCACTCACATTGTAGCCACATGTCTGAAAAATAAGTCTTTATTCTCCTCAAAACACACTCCCTCCTCAACACTCAGGGCCCACTTCCTCCTCCCTTCTTAAAAAAAAAAGCCCCTCCACCACCCACCCCACCCACCGACAATAAAATACCTTCTTCCCCATGAAAACTATTTACCAAGTTATATGTGTGCTGTCTTGGAGTAGGAGGTCATGGGGTGGGAGTGCCTAGGGGACAGAGCCCGAGGGAGGTGGCCAGCACCCTGGCCTCTGGCCAGTTCCCTGCAGGTGCACGTGCTGTGGTGCATGCAGCAGGCTGGGGACTCTCCCTGGGGTGATGGCAGCTGTTGGTCCTCTGGCACGGGTGGCTCCCCCTCTGCCAGGTGCTGTTCATGGCCAGCAGGGCCAGCATATGGTTCTTTTCCTGCTGCTGG